CAGGATGATTGGCAAAATCGAATAGCAAGCACCTGGTCTTGTGTCTTTTACAAAATCCACTCCTTTCGTTGCGTACTATTCTCAAGTTTTTGCGGAACCAAACAGGCTAACGCTCGTTTGTTACGTTGGGAACACACTCAGACATAGCGGAATAAAGAATCGTGTAAAACTAACTGTTATAACTCAGTATTCAGATAACGTTTAATCAGCATTTTTTTTTTCGTTAAGTATGTGAATGTATAGAGGCGTCCTATTTTCGTATTTTCTATTTTCTAATTTTTTTTTTTTTAGGGGATTATGCGGTAATATAAATTCGCTTTCGACATTTCTTTTTGATCTTTCAGCTTGTTATAGTTTGATCGTGAAACGGATATAATTCTGAATCGATGTAATCTTCCCTCTCGCCCGCTTGCAAAAATGTAAGCAGAAAACTCAAACGTGTTACAAGCACATTCAAAGCTAATCGCCAAGCATCAAACTTTAAATTAGACGGGATGAGTGCATAGCCATGCAGCCGCCCATAAAAATCGCAAGTAGTTACTAATCTGCAGAGAATGCTTATATGTATCGGGCGTAATCGAAACTTTGCTATAAGAATGAACATGATGCCTCTACATACATGCTAATGATCATTACCCCTATAGTAAAGTAAGAGTAAAATAGCAAAAAGTCCAGAAGACAGAAATATTCTTTACTACATTGTTATACTATAGACGTTCGCCTGGTCGATTTACATCATTTTCAATACCAATCTGCGAGCCATAACTTCCTATGGTTTATCCAAAGTTGAAGACAATATCTTCATGTTTGTAGGCGAGACGATATTTACTAGAAAGGTGGACATGCCGCGATCGATTCAGAATGGCATATATACCCAACTCTTTTTTTACTCGCTGTTTTTTTTACTGGATTTTGGAATAACACGCTTCATCAATGTATTCTTTTACACCAATTTTTTATTCCAACCGAATATCAAAACAAATTTCTTTTTTTTTTATTCTAAATTTTACAGTGTCCTATGGAAACGTATGGATACAGCAATAGTTGAAAGTAAATTTCAGCTACTAGCTGTTGATTTAATCCGCACGAACTTGAAAATACACGATTTTTTTACACGATTTTTTTTACACGACTTTTTTTACATGATTTTTTTGTTTGAGCAGCATCTGTCCGAAACTTGGATATGATTTATATAAGCAACTTGAGGAACCATAAAAAAAAAAAATGCTGTCAGCAGGCTCTGTAACAACAAAAAACCATCAGAGGGCGTTAATAACGGGAGAAATTTTCTGTTTCAATCAAATCCGACAGTTATGCGAAATATATCTGAAGTATACGCTGCACTGGTGACAGCATTTTTGATCCAGTTCATAAAAAACGTGCGTGCTTGTTATCAAGTAACGTTGAATAGCTAAGAACGCAATTTTTATTTCCAATTGCAATTGATATACGTTGTATGCAAATACTTGGTGCACTAAGAAAATTAACTTTAGTACGTTTTTTGCAATAAAAAGGAATAGCTTTTGTTTTATATAATATGGATTTCGTTATTAACTTTTTTGCATGGTTTTTTAAGCAAATATGTAGAGTTTTTTTATGTTACACGATTTTTTTAACATGTCCTTAAATTTACGATACTTATACATATTTGTTTAGAAGATGGTTTTTCGCAAGAATTTCTAAGGAACGCGTCTGCCGCATGAAAAAAGAGTTGGATGTAATTGCTCAGAAATCATATCATTTTATTAATAATATTTATTCGATGGAAAATAGTCACAGATAAGATAAGAAATGTATTTCTTCATTTACTATCTTTATTGCCGATGAAAATATCCGTATGCTTGCAATCAAGAATGTATAGCGGATCGTTATGCCCACCCAACAATAATCAATGAAAAGAAATAATTATTCCTATTATTTTTATTTGCATTGTACAGTCGTCCCTTTAGCTAATATAAACCGTTGAATAGCAACAACTTACAACGAATTCGTCCGTTCATAATAAAGTAATGATACACTATGCTATTTTAACAAACAAAAAAAAAAAAAGGAATAAGGAATCAATTTCCGATCGTCCTATACAGAATTGTATATTATCCTTAAGAGAACTTTATATATTCTAAAGCTCCGTTAAGTAGCTAGGATTAAGATATGGTTGTCGTTGAAAGCCTACTTCGCTCGAATTAGGAAACGTACAATATTTTTGCGGCCACTTTATGCAGCTACATGAAATAAGGGTTTGAAGATAAATTCGAATTTAACTAGCAAAGACACCCACCATTTCGGTTAACAAAAATCTGTTAACGACTTAACGAGCTCTGTTAAATAATTACAATTGAGATAACCCTTATACGAAAGTACCTTTCAAACAAGCTAAGCAAATTCGACCTTGGATTTTCAAAACTTTTTTTAATTTTTGAAATTTCGAATATTAGCGTAAATCGCCTATGGAGAAATGGTTAAATTCGAGGCTATCTGCAGCAAAGTCTCATATGACAGCATGTGTTGGTAGACCCTAGCTACCACAAGATGGTGAGTTACTGCATCTGTTTGCAGTATGACCCACGAGTTGGCAATTTTTACATGTCGCTGGATTTGGGATACAATGCTCAAGTTTACATTTACACCAATCTACATCTACAATAGATGAGAGGCGGTAGCGATCGAAAGTGAAATCGGTTTTACCGGTAGCGGAGCTTGATTGTCCCTCGGCATTGGGCTTGGTCAATTTATATACGTCGTTTAGGCTTTGGCATTTTATCTCGGAAGTTATGTTAGCTTTGCAAACATGATTAAGACAATGGACATACACTACGCCTTTCGCCGGGTCAAATGTTTCATGAAGTTTCGAAGATATTTGCCATAAGTTTGAGAGGGTTTTTGCTTTTAAGATTTTCCTCTGTAGCCCCAGGATTCCGGGCAAGAACTAATAGGTCTTTTTTATTTGCAAAAGGAATTAGTTTGAATATTAAATTGTCTTTACAGATCAATTACCGGAGTGTTGATTGCGGGCAATGGTAGAAAGTCTCTTTTTTGCTTAGTTTTCTTTTTAGAAACAGTGTCTAGATCCGATAAGAAATCGAATTTGTCGGGTGGGTCCGAAGCCTTGATGTAATTTAAGTACTGATCAGTAGTATATAAGGTATTGAAGACAATCACCCATCAGATGAAGAGGAAAGAAACATATATTGAGTGCATTTTTTTTTAAGATTTGGAAACTGGTGGCAAAATTTCATTTGTCAAACTTTCTTTTTAATTCAAATTTTCTTTTTTATTAAGCTCCCGGTTAACAGAGCTTCAAATTGGCATAGCAAACATATATGCAAACATATCACGGTCATGAAGAAGTACAAATTAGGGTCTGAAGACGTCTGAAAGGTCGACTTTTGCAGACGAAAACTGAGAATACGTGGGGTATCCGTTCGGAAATAAGTCGAACTATAATTCAATTATATAATCAGCCATCAATAAAGAAAAACAAGTAAGAGAGTAATATTCGGCTGGTGCCGATTCATGTATACCCATAATTTCTGCAGTATTCCTCCATGCTTAGCACTTTGCCTTATTATCAATAAGCAAGCAAACTCAAAAAAGTGGGAAAATTAAAAAATTTTGGTCCCTTTGTAAACTTGGACATAAACAATAAGGTGCTCCATAAGGTGCATTTTACCTCTTATCACCGATGATTAATAAGCAATACAATGTTGCCTTCGGTCTTTGCTTTGCTGAAGGCTTGGCGTTCGAGCAGATTTGGCTCAGTTATAATACTAATCTGCGTGCAAGAACATCCAACACTTCGGCCAAATTTCAAGGCGATATGTCAATTTTTACGACACGGGTAGGGCCAACAGCACACACCACACAGAAACGTTGCAGACAAACATGGCTGAGCAAGAACATGTACACTTTATAGGGTGTCTAAAAAATTCTTTTTAAGCTGTGCAAACATTATGAGAACATTCTTCGTTGGTAGGTACAAAAAAAGAAAAGAGAAAATGAAAAATCCATTACTTTGAAATGAAAAACATTGATTGCGAAATGCATTTTTTGACAATCGCTACGAACGCAATGAACAAAGCGAAGCAGGAAAAAAATTCCCATGACATTAAAATTGATCTTTTTAGTGAAAATTCGTGAAAACTCATAATGCACGAATCCATGAACTTGATAATTTGTTGCAAAGTTAGGAGCAACAACTGAGCTTGTGGACTTGCTCGACTCGGTTAAAATTGATAATAGAAAATCATAGAAACGGCGATAAGATTTCGACAAATGAAACGCATAACATTTCTTCTCTACGCATAAAATTTCTCGTATTCGCATACTAAACCAACTATAGTCTGCCATCAGAATAAGAATGAAAGAAGTAGGATATGATGGGATGAATATGATTATTTATTGCTATCTATTTACAAATAATTTACAGAATCAAAAATCATCATTTATTCCAAGCCTTTGCAGGTCACTCAATCGTTATGAAAATCGTTGTGAAAAATGATTTACTACATAAATGGATTTAATTGCACTTTGCTTACATAAGCTCACTGTATATACGCTCATCAAGTTTTCATAAAGGAAATATTGATTTACCGCATTAGTAACGAATAAAACAATTTGCTCCTACCTTACTTCTTAAGAAGTAGTCAAAAAGTATCGCTATAAATAATGAATCATTTCGTGTCATTTTGAGAAATTAAGGACTTTAAGTGCAATGAATTGAATTTTAATTTTAAAGATTCCTTTTTTACGCCTGAATGCACTTACGAGCATGTAAGGGTGTGTGTTTATTTTGGAAAAGAAAAAAGAAAAAACAAAAACGTAGACATATAATAAATCGTAACGGTAACGGTAACCCCAGGCATAATGATTTTTCTCTGAATTCTTTAAATAATTTTATATGAATTGTTTTTATTTTATACGTTTACATTACAATGCCTTTGTTAAAAATCTCAATTTATAAGGGAACTTTTATATGTTATGTTATTTCTTTGTCAACGTACCTCGTTGGTCGCATAACGATATTATATCCAAAATAGGAGCTTCGCATTTGTGGTTTGAAAAATTTTAGTTGGGGTGCTCTTATGACAATTTGTGGCTGTGGAGCATAGCAGAAGGTGTTTGCTAGTGTTAGTAAACTGATAATAGTGCTGCCAACTAGCAGACATTGAACTTGTGACTGAGCAGACATTTCGATTTTCTGCCGTCTGTTCGCGCGTCTTTCATGTATTTTCTTTTTTTTTTTTTTACTTTTCTCATACACAATTTTAAAGATATTTTTATCACAATAAAAACAAACAGCAACGGCAGCAGCAGCAGCAGCAACAACAACGAAAATTAAATAAAAAACTTCATTGCTTTAAAAACTAGAAATATATGTTTAGTGTTCAATTAAAAGATTATTACGATGCCAGCCATCATCATATATCATTGATTTCGATACAATTGATTTTCAACTTTAAAAATTCTTCACATTAATTTTCTTAAATATATTTTTGATCTTCTTATTTATTGACATTTATTGAAATGATCGCATTTGACCGCAGCAATAGCATAACGCGCGACCCTAATTGACTTGACGTAGTTTTGCAATGTTTTTTTACACTACGAAACCGCGAAGCGAAAATTTGTCACATATATATATATGTAATGGCCACAGGAATCTGTAAGTATCGCACACACATATATATCATTAAACAATGCGTTTTAGTGAATAAGCAAATCGGTTACACGCACGCATACTCGCTTATACATTCTCATATTTAAAAGCATGTAATTCTTGATTTTTCTCATTTAAATAATTACAAGAAATTGCTTATGATCTTAATTCGCACGCACACACTAATATGATTATACATTATTTTGCTACTACGTTTGTGTATCAATCTTCTTTTTTCTTTTTCTCTTCATTCAATTTGTAAAAAAAAAAAAAAAAAACAATTTTTCTCCAAACACGTACACTACAACTTACTTCGCCGGCAACCGAAATCAAAATAAACACAAATTCTTTTGCCACAAAGGCCCTAAGCTCTGCTTATTGCTTGACTGATAGTTACATATACAGATTGATATATATTTCTTTACATATATATATATATATATATATATCTATTTATATACGAGCATGTTGTTTTTCTGTTTATTATGTACCGGCAGTCAACACTGAAGGCACTGAGGGCAATCATAAACGTCGTGATTGTATGCATATGCATACAAAAGTTATTTACATATGGGTTTCTCTATGACTAAATTTGATGATGTGGATCAATATTAAGACCACACATTTCTTTTTACCCTACAAAACCACATTAGACCATTTTTTATAATTTAGTTACTTAGATGCGTAACTGTACGCGGCCTTGCCTAGATTAAGTTTTGAATTTGGCATTACCATCTTATATATTTTTCAATATTTTGAAAATTTGATATAAAATAAATATCCTAAGCACTCAACTATTGATTGTGCTTAGACAGTTTATTAAGGCTAAGTTATATTTACCTAGGAAGCGAATACTTATTCTTTTAATTCATTCATTGTCCAGCATTGCCAGATATAACAGAATTGTTTCTTGGCCGCAATCTCTCTCTATACGTTTTTGCTTGTGCAAAATTTTCTTGCGGTATCATTCCATTTACTCCCGATCTGATCTGGCGGTCGAACGTTAATTATGAAGATGACCTTCCAACTGTTGCTTACGCATTTCGACGGAGTGGGTAATAAAATTTTATATAGCCCTTGCTTCATGTTTTTCGCATTTAATTGCTTTCAGTTCATCTTTAATCATTCGTCTTCGTCTTATCCATTCGTAGCTAGATAATATGGAGCAGCCTTTTTGTATGTAATGCCATTACTTTTCAAAAAGAAATTCCTGTGACGTTAGTTGCTAACCACAGCCACTTGTTAATACTTCAAGAATCAAGAATCTTTGGTTCTGTAGTTATGTTGGTAATCATTTGTCATATGCTTCAACCGAGACTAAAAAGTAAGCGGGCCTCTAGATGAATACGGTCAAATTGGGTGCTTCTTCTCAGCAAAGTATAGATGATTTTGACCGATCAGAGTGGTATCGTTGGCAATTTGCACAGTTCTTTACCACATTTTCCATTTCAGAGTCTACAACTTTTCACCAGCAGTGAGCTGTCGTCATTGTTTCATACGAATCCCATATGAGTCCCAAACTGCTGTGAATGCAATTCTTGTAAAACTTCACTTCTTCACTTTGATGAGATGTAGATCCTCACAGCTCTTAGCCGACAATCTTGTTGTAATGAGAGAATTCAGATTGATCAATACAAAAGCGCAAATGTCGCTATTATGCCAACTTAAAGACCAGATATCAATTGGGATTGTTCGACATCATTACGGGTTGCAGCAGCTAACTCAGTGCATGAACTATAGATATCTAGAATTAGCAATCTTGACATAGTATCAGCTCCTCTATATTTTATGTCAAAATCGAAAGATTCGAAATTGCACAGTGTTGCATTCTCGACGCAAAAACATTCGACTTAACGATATTATAACCAGCGTAAACTGTCGGTTTTATGCCAAAACTAATTGAACTTCCTCTAAACGATTCAAATGTTTAATATCATCCAGGGCCATTATGTTGACATCATCAATCAACAATGTCATTCCAGGTACGCCGATAAAAATTCTTCAATTTCGCACTGTCATCTAGTATTCAGAATTTCATACCAAAATGTTACAGACGCATATAAAACAAGACTCGATGTAATGTTACAATATGTCAGTCGGTCTTGAACTTCTATTTGAAAGTCTGAAGGAACTTGGTTAAATCCCATTTACCAAACTTTTTACCACCAGATATATTGCCAAACGGTAATTAGAAAAGCTCGTCGCTGTTATCTAATCGTTGATGGCCATGTCTGTAGAATACGGTAGCGGGACCTGCAATTTGAGGTTTAATCTATTCAATTTTATTAGAGCTCCGCATCATTAGCACATTGACTTCTTCGTCTCGCTATGAGCAAACTCTTTAGGAAGACGGATGTCTCAAATCCAAATTGTCATTCAATATAACGCATGTAATGGCTTCTAATGGCTTTAGGTTGTAGCTTCACTTTCGGATCACTGAGATTAGTTTTCAATATATTTTTTCAAGTTTTCTGTGGCTAACACTACATTTACGCTTCTGTATGTCCTCGTTAAAAATCTGCAAGCCACTCGCGATGCTGGATTGCCATAAGAAGTGCTTAGTCGAAATGTTTCGAAAATCACAGAAGTCGTGCCATCAAAATCACTGTAACCAAATGATCGTGAGAACGCAAAACCTTGACAGGTACAATTTAAGGGTTAACACTTCATAAAAATGAGCATTTTTTCTTAGGGTGACGTCTATATATGACTCCCACGATTTTATACACCCATCCATGTAGCCATCCAAGTGATATATGAACTTATGATGCTTCATCGAAAGCCCACGACGAAAGCTCACCTTTTACATGACATTAAGTCAAATGTCTAACGGAAGCTAATAACGATTTCGGAGAAGTAACCGATTGTCGCTGCCTTGAGTTTCACACACATCGAGGATGAGAACTCTTATATATTTCTATTAAATGCAAAAAATTAAATATAAATTTGAGAAAAATTAAAAAAAATATATTTTTAATATAAATATAAGAGATTTATTAAAAATATTAATTTTGCTGATTTTTTATATATTATCAGAGTTTCTTTATGGAGCATCCCATATACAGAGTCGCGACGGCGCCCAGATATCTTGTACAGTGGCATTATATATATATATATATATATATATATATTTATATAAGAGTGTATATGTGTCTGTGTACCGCTTATAGTACAATTGATACACACACAATTGCATACACGCGCATATATATCCTATATTTTTGGAAAACATAAAGAGGAATTCATTTAAATTCGTGTACCGTTTATGCAGCAGTTACAACCTAATAAAAAGTATTTTCGAATGTTGTAAATTCTGTACAAAGAATACGAAAACAAATAAAATAAAAAAAAGAAATTAATAAGAAAATTATTGATAAATAAACATGAAATGGCTTTCATGAAATGCTATTAAAAACTTTTTCGAGGGTTGAATTTTATATTCGACAGTTTAAAACAAATTTTAAATTTTATTTGCATTCATATACATACATACATACATACATACATACATTATGAATACGTTTTACATGTACACAAGCGGGCTTATAACGTCACTCGCATAATGCAATCAGTCATTAACTGAAATTGATATGCCGGCAATCAGCAATTCAAAGCGACTTTTATATATGTATGCGAACTCAATACTTAAGACGTGACCTATCGCAATTAATTCGAAGTAAACGAAATCATGATGTATAAATACTTGTTATACAGCCATAGGCAACACCTTCTTAAGAAACTCTAATATATTATGTTAATGCATTTTGCGTTGCATCGATGCCACATAAATGTTATATTGTCGTCAAGGCCGTATATTGATTGCATTATTTCTACGAAATTGTACAAAATTCCAAACATAAGCCTTGAAATAACTTCCACCACATGTTCTTCCCATATTGTGAAGCTGGATTTCTTAATTCATAAGCAAGCAAACGATTTCTTGTTATCTTGTTGTTGTATGTAAGGAAACAGCTTGTTCTGCACTGACAATCCGAGAGGAGAGAACATTTGCTTTGCTACCGGCCTATGTGTCACTTCCTAAGAAACGGCAACACTTCTTTTTAATAGTTGAAAAAACACGGCCGTGGTCCGCTTTCCTTTATTTGCTAACACGTGGACGATAATTGTTGCAATGGATCGCTACTTTTCGCTACGTTTTGTTTTGTGTATTATTGACTTTTAACTCTCCACTCCCTATCCTATTAACGTCACTTGCTCTTTACGCGGGTCAAAAAGCTAACTAGTTTTAAACTGCAACGGTTTCGCTTTTAATTACCGAACAGTGTAAGGTGTTCGATAGCAAATTGCTTCCGTTCTTGCAGTAACAAATTGCCTCTCATCTTACATCATTCAACTTCCCTCAGTGTCAATATGTTTGGCATTGCTTTTGACTCATTTCCATTACTTTTAAGTGTGTGCTACGAGAAATCACTTTCCTGTATAGAGCGTAAGCAACGTGAGGGAAGTAAAAAGAAACTCTTACACACAAAATTAACGGCAATTCAATGCATCAGTTCATGCCAAGTATCTACATTTACTGCCTGCACTTTGGCTCTGCTAAGGATTCCTTGAAATTAGTAAACAAACGGAAATAAAAAAAGTTCAAGGCGTGAACTCTCCATTGTTGAGGTATGTACACGACCAACCCCTCTCATGGCAATATAAATAGCGTTTGAACTATGGCCATTGTTTGCGAAGATATTTTGTCACTACTTATGGACAGAGATAAAATACCGAACAGACCTAGCGCTTAGAAGCTACAATAATTTCGTACAAGTAAACCACTGTACGTGCGTATATCCAATTACAAGCAATGTACACCTATAGCAACTTTCGTTCAGTAACACTAGCGACCGTATCACTTAGGGACTCATACAACTCGATTTATTGATTATGTCCATTGTCAACTAAACAATGGGAAGCGGAAAACAGGCAAAAGCGATACATGCAAAGTAAATCAATGCAATTCAAAAATGAAAAAACGTTAGGTGCCTTTGTATAAAAGTTGAGTTAATAATGAATGTAATAAATATAATAAAAAGAGTCGAGAACGGTTCGTAGTTCAATTACTTGATTATATACATTGCTACTGGGCATACTTGTGTGTGTTATCAATGATTTGCAGCGCACTTACATTCATGTATACATATATACAGCAGTATGGACAACTAAATTTACATAGAGTAATTGATACTGTAATCAAAGTTAAATGGTCGCATTTATG